AATATCACTAGGGTCTTGACCTTGCATGGGTCAATGCAAAGACAAAGGAACAGATGGATCTATCATCAGCCTCAGGAGCTGAAACTGGGCTGTGGTACGTAATTATGCATCGTACCACTGACTGTTGACACCAACTTTGCACATCCTCGCGGCCCTAGGCCAAAGCTTAGATTGAGCACGAACCGAGGTAGTTTTAAATTGGAATTTAAAGTTTATTCTTCAATGCCGCATTGTATCATGTAGAACACTTAGTGGAAATTCGCTTTAGTTCTTTATTACGTAAAGCTAAGCTCACTGTCAAGAGACTGGGCCCAAATCATACAGCAACATTCTGGCATCCTGTTATGAATGGAAAGCAACAGAGATATTTTAATCATGAATGATTCATCATTAAGAATGCATCGTTCAACCAAAAACGCCATCGCCAAATTTGCTCAACATAAACCGAAGGACAAAAATCATGTACGTAGGTGAGTCAATTTTCCTAGTTTCAAATAGGGTATTGCCGCTAACAAGATTATAATGTTTTTAAATATATTTATATTTTAGCTTAGTATTTTATATGCGTGTGCCACTGTCTTTTCTTTCATTATGCATCCTTTATAATATCTGAGTGATCTCAATTTTTGGTCCACGCAAACCTCACCCTCAATACAACCTACCCGACGCCTCTGGTGAAAGATACCGTAAGACGCTTTTGCTCCAAGTTCGATACAGGGCAATAAAGGCAAAAACTCGATTTTTAAACGATTGAGTTCCCTTAAAAAATTATTCTGTGTCCATCATCTATCGATATTATTCTAGGCTAAAATGAATTTTTGGAGATGATTTTGTACACAAGTCATCTTGCGTAATAACATTATCCAACAGAGCCTACATGCTGAAGGATTCTACGACTCATTCTCACAAACACACTCCATACTAAAATTTAAGTCAGCTTGTTATCTACGTCGTTCCGTGAAAAGGACATGAGTGTAACAAAACAGTGAGGGATGGCAAGTTTTGCGCATGTGTACTAGACTCTATGTTCCACTTCATAAGCAAAGCAAAGCCAAAAAGCCACTCTTCGAAATTTCTAGCATTGTCATTGATTCCGATTTCTGCGACTCATTCATAAAACTCAACCCCTGTAACATCCATAATAATAATAATAATAATAATAATAATAATAATAATAATAATAAAGATAATAGCATTTGCATATCACAAATCCCTGCTCAACAGCTAACTCTATGTGCTTCACAATTTATACAATTACCCCAGCAGACTGGGAAGCATACAGTGCAATCTGCCATATATAGGCGCCAAAACACTATATACGGACAAGACCTTTCGCTGTCTATGGCGGGTACCCATTCCCACCTGTGTGAAGTGAGGAAATTCGTGTTAAGTGCCTTTCCCATGGACACAACGTCGGGCCCGCGGCTCGAACACCCGAACCCGATACCTCACATGCACAAACGAGTCCGGTAGCCTAACCACTAGACCACCGACGACACATTTAGGTCAGCTTATTTTCTTTTGAGTGGTATGTTGTGCGCATAGTGGACGTAGGGGTGCTTCACGAATACGCCTACCCTCCCAGACTTCATGAACAAAGCCAAGTCAATTTTACGAAATTCTAGCTCCAATTGACCGTGAAGTGAGAGTTGCTTAGAAATGGTTTACTGACACTTTGAAACTGCTAAAAAATTGCACTTTGAGTAGAAACAGTGTTTCAAGAGTTTTGGAGAGAAACAACACAGTTGACTGATCGATCGATATTCATTAGGATTCAACATGATCTCAAATGTGAAACATCGTGGTGAAATTAGACTCTTGTCATAATAATGAAATTGAAAGAAACTGGCATTTTTTTGGGTCTGTTTGGCAATTTTAAAAAATCGAATTTTTGCTGTTTTACTCAGTAGCTTTAAGGTCTTATACAAAACGCATTCCTGTGTGGATTTTACTGAAAAATGTTGATTTAAGGAACAAAAAAGTACATTTGCAGTTTCTAAGGACTGTCATTCTTTGGAACTCGCCAAAATTCTCGCTAATTTTACCCCTGTAACCAAGCGACCTCAACTTCCTTTAATCTCAAATATCTCGACTTCCTTTCACGAAAAAAGTTAATGAATATTTTTTTTTCACCAAAAACAAAAGAAATGAAGAAGTTTTAAAATGAGACTAATAAGTCCACTTGTCCAAAAATTGACGAGTGCCTGATTCTACCGTGTAATGACACAGTTGGCTTATATACCCTACCTGACAATATTAAATAAATCTCACAAAATACTGAAGCTATCTTAAAATTTAAAAAGTAAGCTGTTTATATTGTGAATTATTTTTTGTTTCATAGAAGGCAGTGAAAAGCAATTCTTCAAAATGTGTCAAACCGTGCCTTTCACCTGGTACACACACAAATTACGTTCGTGTTTATTCATTCATTGCTTTATTCAACCATTCAGTCTCTTTTCCAACTTATTGATTAGCTGCTTTTAACCTACAACTCTTTGTACCATGCATACGTGAGGCATCGTGGTGAATCAGACGCTCGACAAAATAATGAAATCCTAAAACCAGGTTTTCCAAAACCAGTTTGACAACTATTATAGAATTTAAAAAAATATTTTGGCTCACCATCTTTTATGTCCGTATGAAAAAATCTCCATGTGAATCTTACAGGAAAACATTGATTAAAGTCACAAATAAATATGTCATTTTACAGTTTTCAAGAACTCTCAAACTGTTGAAGTTACATAACTTTGGCGGTCATTTTCTCGCTAGTTGTACTACTGAAACCAGGCGATCCCATCTCCTTCAATCGCAAATATCTCAATGTCTATTCAAGACAGATGGGCATTAATTTCATTGAAAGCAAAGTAAACGAATAAGCTTTCAGATGATGCCAATAACGTCACATGCCCAAAAAATGACGAGCGCCTCATTTCTCCGCGTCGTGACACATACCTTTCCTGTGGGGTTTATGTATACCAATTTTTGCTTTATCTCATTGTTTCACATTTTCTTAATTAATTACCCATTATTTTATTTTCTAGCAATTGTTGCTTACAACATTTGGTAAGTTTAGTTTCTGGCAACAATACCTATTCATTTTTTTGTTTTCGATCTATCTATCTGTCTATCTATTTATCTATCTATCTATCTATCTATCTATCTATCTATCTATCTATCTGTCTGTCTGTCTGTCTGTCTGTCTGTCTGTCTGTCTGTCTGTCTGTCTGTCTGTCTGTCTGTATGTATGTATGTATGTATGTATGTATGTATGTATGTATGTATGTATGTATGTATCTTTACGTAGGCGTATTCAATTGTTTGTAAATATAATCATCATCATCATCCGGTGCCTTGCCGACTGGCGTGGGCGATCATGGACCTCCACTTCACTCTGTCTTGCGTTGCAGCAATGGTGCCTGTTGTTCATGCTGCTCCTAGCCATGTTGTCATCTTGTCCAGTATCTTTTCCCTCTGTCGCCTCTGCCTCTCTTTCCATCAAACTCGCCTGTTGTTACAATATTCTCTCATGCTTCTTTCCGCATTGTGAGTCCGAAGAAATTTGCCGGTCGCTTTCTTATATTCGTCATAAGCTGTCTTCTACAATTTGCTTCAACCAAGACTTCTTCATTTATTTTTCCAGCTGTCCATGGGATACGTAGCATGCGTAAAAAGGGCTAGCGGAGTAAACAGTGCAAAATCCAGCAGAAGGCAAGGGGAAACCACTGCTGTATTCTTTCCCAAGAATACCATGGATCATAACAAATATAAACGTGCATACTTTAAAAAGTAAACAAACAAACAAACGCAGACTGATGTACACTCCTCGGGGACACAGCGGTTGTTTCTTTGACACATGTACTCGTCTGACTGACAGGCCCCTGTTGTTTAGGTTTGTTTGTTTTGCGTTGTTGTTTGTGTATGTGTTTTTGTTTTTGTTTTTGTTTGTTTGTGTGTGTGTGTGTGTGTGTGTGTGTGTGTGTGTGTGTGTGTGTGTGTGTGTGTGTGTGTGTGTGTGTGTGTGTGTGTGTGTTTTGTTGGGTTTTTTTGTCGGGGGGGGGGGGGGGGTTGTGTTTTGAGGGGTTGAGTTTCGGGGATAGGAGGTGGGAAGGATGGAGAAGAGGGAGGGAGATTATTATACAGAAGGGATGATGGTAGAAGGATTGGTAAATGGACGGGGAGGAGGAAATGGGGAATCGGTAGGATAAGGGAGGAGGAAAGAAAAGGGAGAGAAACATAGCAAGGGTAGGGGGAAAAGCGAGGGGGAGAGGATGCGGAGAGGAAGAGGATAGAGAGGACCGGAAAGAAGAGGAAAAAATAGGGAGCATAGATGATGGGGAGAGGAAAGAGGAAAGAAAATGAAGCAGCATAGGGTGGGGGAAGGGGGTGAGACGCAGATGTAGAAGATAGGAGAGAAGAAGGAAGGGAAAGGGTGATGGGGCGACAAACGTTTAGGGATGAAGAGGGATAGAGATTATTGGATGGAGGAAGAAGCTAAGGAAAGAACAGGAAGAACTGTTATTGGAATGTAAAGAGGGAAAATGAGGGGGGATTGGGGGCTGGGGAAGGGGAAGTTGTGAGTGAAGAAAGAGAGCAGGGAGGAGGAGGAAACAGGGTTTATGAAAACGAGGGAAGTGGGGAAGGTGATGAGTATAGAAGGATAGACGACACAGAAGAGGAAGCATTACAGGAGAGACGAGAGTAATGTGAACAGAAGAGCAGAAGGTCGACGTTTGAGTGATATCAAGGTCATGTCATTCAGTAAAGACGCATCCTAAATTCTAACAGATAATTTTGGATAAACAGAGCAAGGAAAAATTTGAATAAAATATACACCCAAAACCCCCTGCCCTTTCAGCAGAACTGCTAACTCGGCTTGGATACTTAAACCACACAAAAAATAAACAAAACAGCACAAAACAAAACAAAACAAACAACCCCGCCCTCCCCCACAAAAAGCCCATCCGCTTTTTGTGTAAAACTGCTGACTCAGTTCGTCTTACCTCGATTGCTTCCACTTCGTCGTGCGCCAGGTCTGTGGTTACGACGCGGATTCTGTTGCGGACGGCTGGACACAAGGGCGAGATCGTTACATACGAGCAGAAGCAAAACCAGGAGAGTCATCCTGTGCATTCTCGAAGCAGCCATCTTAATTGGACTAAAAACGAAATTTTGTGTTTGATGGTTATGAAGAGAAAAGAGAGATAAGATAAAATGTGAGATAAATCTTTATACCCAAAAACTGGAATATTGGTTTGGTGTTTGGTCAAATCACTGGCACATTGGTTTGGTATTTTGTCCACAAACGGAAACACTGGTTTTGTGTGTTGTATCATAATATTGTTATATACATTACCATTATTTATTATCATTATTATATTATGATTATGTTTATGAAGATGATGATGACTTCTGCGGCAACCAATTGGTCAAGGACAACTTACATGTCCTTTAAAAAATTAAAACACTGAATTAAAAAAAGGCAAATTACAGACAACACCAACATTTTGACCATTGACATTGTAGACATGTACAACAACATCCCACACAAAGAGGGAGTCGAAGCCTGCCGCTTTGCTCTCGCTAGCCTCTCCACATACACCCCATGTCAAATAAGAGAAATTTGTCAACTCCTGGAACTAGTCCTTACACTAAACTTCTCCTTCAACGACCAACATTTTCTTCAACTCACAGAAACAGCCATGGGAACACCTGTAGCTCCTTTCTATGCCAACATTATTATGGCAGAATTTTGGCGTAAAAACATCGCCCCCCCCCCTTTCCCAACCAACCGGTTTTGGTCATGAGATACATGGACGACAGTATCGCCCTACATGATGGTAATTCTCAACAAACGCATCAATTTCTTTCGGACATCAATAGCGTCCATGACACCATCAAATTCACACACTCCAACCCCGGAAAGTCTACAGCTTTCCTCGACCTCTCCATCCACCTTCTCAATAACAACATTGAGACAGACCTCCACCTCAAACCAACCGACTCTAAGCGCTACCTCCCCCCTTCTTCCAACCACCCCAAACATGTTTTCCGTTTTGTTGTTTACAGTGGTGCGCTCCGACTCCGACGCATTTGTTCAAGAGATGAATGGTTTTATGCTAGAATTACAATTTCAGAGAAAACCTTCTTCGCAGTGGATACCAAAACAGTTTTATAACCCCCATCATAAACAAAGTGTTTAAACTCAGGCACAAGGATCTACTTAGCTACAAACCCCACAAACCTCATCAGAAAAGGCCATTCTTTGTCACCACTCACCACCAAAAGCTGCCCAATGTCCAAAACATCCACAACCAGCACAAAGACATTTTAGAAAAATCTGACAAGATGATGAAGTGCTTCCCTCAGCCCCCTTTAATCGCTCTCCGACAACCCCCCAACCTCGGCAACCTTCTCATCCGTACGAAAGATACAACACGTCTTCCTTAACCTCAAAACAACATCTCACAAACCCCTCAGAACCACCCCTGCAAGAAACCTAGGTGCAAAACATGCCATTTAATGACAGAAACCAACCATGTAGAGGGACCTCTTTTCAAAAAAGTTCTCACAGATAACATCAACCGCGAAACTAAAAATGTAATCTACTTGATAACATGAAAAATATGCTCTGCCCAATATGTAGGACAAACCACCACCACTCGTATGGCCAGATTTAACAATCACAGGTACTTAGTACAAAACCACTCAGGCACCCCAGTCGGCCAACATTTCAATAGCCCTGGTCACAACGGAACCACTGACATGCAGCTTCAGGGTATAGAGATTGTTAAAAAAACCTACAAAAGAAAATCTCAACCTTAGAGAATCTAAGTGGATGTGGAACCTGGGCTCACATCAAACCCTCCCTGGCCTCAATATTGATGAGCCCCATTTCAGAGAACTAAAATTTACAACGTAACCACCCAAGCCGCTGCCCAACTTTTCCCACCTTTACACCTACTCATCCCTCCCTCCCAACTGAGATCAACATACTACCCCCCTCCCTCCCTTTCTCCCCCACCATGCACCTCCACCCTTTATCTGACCGCGCCTTTCAAAATCATGACACTTCAGTTTCACCCTACCCCCCCCCCCCAACCCCCCAACCCCTGCATCTCCTTACAGCCTATCTCCCCACCCTCCGTCCTCTTTCCCGACACAAGACATTTCCCCTACTTGAAGACCACCCCCTGTCACTCCCTCATGCAGATGAAGTGCCTGATCGCCAGGATATTTTCTTTCAACGCCTACCCCGCACTCTTTGCCTAAAGAGATCCTTCTACCTACCCCCCCCCCCCCCCACACAAAAGATGACCACGCACTGCTCATACATGGATTGTAACAGACTGTGTGCGTGTACACACTACGGCTAACTATAGTCTTATCACCGCCAGCGCGCCTGAAATTAATCAGAGACTCTCACACTGGCGGAAAACTCATAAATGTCTGAGAGCAGAGCCATCTTGT